GTCTGTAAAATCTTTATTTTATCTATATTTTATTTTAAGTTATTTTATCTCTCTCTCTCTCTCTCTCTCTCTCTGTTTGATATTAAATAACTTATATATTTGAAAACTTTAAACACATTTACACAAAACATGATGTAATTTAATTATAATATGAATTTTATAAAAACTGTAAGATAATTTTTATATATTGGTTATTATATTCTGAGAAACTATGGTTAAAATTTAAGGTCGCATGCCGTCTGTAAAATCTTTATTTTATCTATATTTTATTTTAAGTTATTTTATCTCTCTGTCTCTCTCTCTCTCTCTCTCCAATTTACCAAGCTAAACCAAAAATATTTAAATAACAAAATATACTATTTTACTTACAGGTACCCAAAGCTATACACCTCGGTAAAGGAGTTTGATAAATTCAACCGCATATTTATCAACACACTTTTCGTGTTAAACAGCTTTGCAATAGCAAATACCACGTACTTAATCATCTACGTTAAAAGTCACACATTCATGCATATATTCATATACATATTGACCGCATTGTTAACACCCCTAACCCTATCGGCACTTACCGTTGGCTATAGGCTGGACACTAAGACCCGGGCGCTAATTGAAGACTATATGGTAAAATCGGATTCAATTGATTTTATGTTGATATGCCATAGAATTTACACGTATGTCAATAGCCGTAAAATTTTTGTTACATTGATGAGTTTACGGACAATTATTTATCTAATTGTATTATTTATTTTGTTTCATATTGGTATTATATTTGTTATAAATTATGATAAATATACAGGTATTGTCGATAGGTTAACAAGTGATAGGAATTACAGTCAACTCTCTGTTTAATCAACGATATTAAACATGTTATGTAATGTATGTTATGTTTGTATTGCATTCAATGCTATTTATAAGTGATGTGTAATTTTTGTTACGAGATTTATATATCTGTTTATTGTTAATGTAATCGTGAGATGAAATAATTGCTTAAATATTTTGTTATGCAAAACATGTTATCAATTACTTAAGTAACAATACAAAATATTTTTGTCTAAAATTCTTTCATCTCAATAATATTTTTGCTGTATTTTTTGAACAAGGAAAATAAAATGCATTTATTAGTTTAATTATATTATTATACTTGTCACAATGATAAAAAGTGTAATATTAATAATAATGCACATAGGTAATTTCCAATAATAGTTTATTGACTCATAATAATGTATATATTATTAATAATAGTGATTAAAAAAATTATAATCAAATTGTTTCATCCGGGATAAAATAATTCAACAATTAAATGTTTGCACATTAATTAGCAAACAGGCATTATTTAGTCACGTAAACAAAGCTATTAGGTATAAATAGTTGTAAAAATAAAAAAAATTAATAAATCATTTAAAAAATTGTTTTATGAAAGTTCTTGCTCAAAGTTTAATAAAAATCATAAATTAATAAAATTATTATTAATTATATTATAAATTAAGTTATAATTAAAATTATATAAAATTCAACCATGTGCGCCAAAGTGACCGTGTTTGATGCCATCAATGCAATCAACCAATACACCATAAGTAACTCCGGGGGCAATTTGATAGTTAAAGTGCTAGATTACGGAGCGATCGTCACAAACGTACTGTTCCGGGACAGGACTGGCCGCCAACTGGATCTGGTCTTAGGCTTTGATACCATCGACGGCTATAAGCGCGCAGACAATCCCCACTTCGGGTCACTCATAGGCCGAGTGGCCAATCGTATAGCTGGCGGTCGGTTCGCACTGAACGACACGACCTATCAGTTGGCCCTGAATGACGCCCCGAGACATAACACACTTCACGGCGGATTAGTGGGCTTCGATAAGAACATGTGGTCACTCTCACACTCGACAGGCGATTCGGTTACTCTGGAACTGGTCAGCAGAGATGGTGACCAAAATTTTCCCGGAACTGTCAAGTAAGTGGATGCAAAAAAATTGCTAATGGTAGTTTGTAAACTTTATGAAAATAACCCATCTGATATTTTGGGCCATTTGGTTGTAATGGATATGTTATTTTATGTTGATAATATATTCATTAATTTTTAGATTACAGTTTTTAAAACAATTCGTTGTACAAGAACGTTTTATTTATTTATACATTTAAGTGATTACTGTTTAAGTTATTACATGCCACATTAAAATACATAAATTAACTTGTTTTAATAATATTTTAATAACGTCAAAATACAATATAGATTTATATTTATAAACTATTTTATATTTTAATTTTAAGTAATAGTTGTAAAAATATTGTAATAGTTTGCTTTTACTACTACTTTATAATTAATGATTGACCAGGTGAGTTGAATTCAATATTATAGATAAATTATTTAATTTATATTGGCAAAATATAACGTGATTTTTAGATTACAGTCTATAAAACTAAGTTGGTGTTTTGTTTATGAACGTACTTACTAAACTTATTTTTTAACATTTAAAATTATAATCAAACTCCAACAATAAATTAATCCGAAATATTGTTAAAAATTATATAGATTAATATTCGGTAAATAATTTGTGATATTTAACATGTTTATTTTTTGTAACTGAATTTGCTCTATTACAATTAACAATAATTATAAAAATTAATTATGCTTACTATAAGTATGCACTTATATCAATTAATTATTCAAAACTACTTTAAAATTACTTAAGTATTCTGTTAATTACTTCACACATAATGTGTTTAAGAATCTAAATACAATATACAATACTCATTGACTATTTTAACCAGGGTTACCATAACCTACACCGTGACCGATAACAACGAGCTTAAACTGGAATACAGCGGCCAATCAAACTCAAGCCCCGGCTCCAAGTCGACCATCATTAATTTAACCAACCACTCATATTTCAACCTTAATGGTTGTACTGACCCGCAGGCCGTACTGGCCCTCAATCACACGGTCCGTATGAACGCCGATCAGTACCTGGAGTTCAACGCCGAGCAAATACCCGACGACCGGGTGCTCCGGGTATCGGACGTACCGGTAATGGACTTTACGGGACCAAAGTTCACAA